GGAAACCGCTTAACCATTGGGATTTCTTAAGATAGATGAGATAAAATTCATGGCAATGTTGACTCCTCCTGATATTCTCTCCAGCAAAGAAAGGATTTTTCATCTGCATCTGGTTTTCCAGAGAAAGCTATAAACAGATCTTTGTACTGGCCAAATAACAAAGCTTTAAACACTGAACAAAAGGCAGGGAAACAAACAAAACAACAAAACAAACAACAAAAAGACACCAAATCATCTGAAGGAAGGGAAAAAAAGTCCCAAACTCTTGACAGCTGGGCAGAAATGTGTACAAAAAGAAGCTGAAGTTGCACAGCTTTTGCTGTGATTGCAAGAGGAATCCTGGCCCAGCTTGTGCACAGGAAGGAAAGAGAGCTGGCACATTCCCACCTGTATTCAGGGTACCCAAAAGGCTGGGTGGAGTCCTGCCTTTCCATCACCCTTCTCCCTTCTCAGCTAGAAAAACCCTTTCCAGAAAGTGATAAAGAAGCTGGAAAGGATTTGCCAGAACGAGGAGGTGGAGGAAGAAGAAAGGTTATTTCCTGTTTGCTGCTATCAGATTTGGGGTGATTCCTCTTCTTCTCAAAATTAGCAGAGCACATTCCCTGCAAACAGCTCAGGAGAAAGGCAGAGAGGAGGGAAGAGTCCCAGGGGCTCAGTGGGGCTGTGATGTGTCACCAGCAGAGGGGTGCATCTGTCTGGGGAACACCGCCCATAGCAAATGCAGGGACAGCAGGTGTCAGGAGAAAGCAACAGCAGTGCAGCTTTCTGCAGAAGAACACTTCATACTGCCTGAAGAGCTTGCAGGATGATGGAGGACAGACCTGCAGCCTCCCCACCTATTTAAGGGAAGAAAAAGCATCTCTGCCTGCCATTACTCACCAGCACTTCTGCACCCTCAGTCATGAACCCCGTGCCCTTTCTCTCTTCCCTTTGGGATCCTGCACAGCAGACGCTGAGTCTGTGTCCTCACCCCCTTCCTCTTTCTGTCCTGTCATGGCTCATCCTGACACCAGAGGCTGTCCCAGCCAGCAGTGCTCCTGCTCCTGGCTCCATGTATCCCCTCAGGAAAGCCTCCACCAACTTCTCCACTGGCTCCAGGTGAATGGAGTTGACATGCACACACCTTCCTGAATGTGGCACCTGACACGTCCCTGAATCCCACCCCTGCTGTCCCAAATTCCCTCTCCATCGGTCTGCCAATTGTTTCAGAGGAGAAATCTGATTCCTAGTGCTCTGTGATTGAAAGCAGGGCTGCAACACAAACTCTCAGTGCTCTTTGCCAAAAACACCATCACAATTTCTTTTTCTTTCTTTTTTTTTTTTTGTTTGAAGATACCTCGTTACATGACTTTTCAGTATCAAAAAAAAAAAAAAAAAAGCTTTTAAAACTGTTTCGCTCCTTAGTTTAGGGAAAATATGTTTTGGCCTCAAAGAGGAAGTTGTATAAACCAAAGATGAGACAGCAGTGCTGGCTGGAGGATAGGCACCCAGCTGTATTTCCTTGTTCCATTTGCATATGATATGGGAGTAGACAATCATTCTCTCCAATGCACTGCATTTGCAATTCCAAAAGATTTGCTGAAAACTGCGTCCAAGTAATTCTCAGCCTGTAATACATCCAGTTTCTGTAGTGTTAGATAATACTAAAACTATCAGTAGCCATCATCAGTTTTAAAAATTCTGCACAGAATTTCCAATAGTAACTGTATTTATATTAGCTATAAAACACACACTTTAGACCATAGCCCCATTCAGTATTTTACCATGGATATTGGCTAACTGTGACACTGAATATTCTAACCAGAAAAACAGATCAATTTAAAAGTAAGCTGACATTGGCCACCCATATTTTCTACCTCTGCAGATGGGAACTTCCCTTATGTTAGTGTTTATGGCATAATGAGCACACTACAGCTGTACATGAATGATTTTATAAAGTCAGGTTCCTGCTGACCTCATGGCTGATGGGAGCGTGGGGGAACCTCTGCTGCCTTGCGCTGAAATCCCACCTCAGGCAGGAAATATCTTCATGAAGGTGACAATGATGCTACCAGCATGCAATAAATATATATATATATATATATATAAAATTAACACCTGCCAGCAAGGACACGGGGCAAAGGCTTCAAACTGAAACAGAATAGATTTATATTGGGTATCAGGGAGAAATTCTTTTCTGTGAGGATGCTGAGGCACAGGGAATGGTGGCTGCCCCATCCCTGGAAATGTTCAAGGCCAGATTAGACAGGGATCTGAGCAACCTGGTCCAGTGGAAGGTGTCCCTGCCCACAGCAGGGGTGTTGGAATTAAATGAACTTCAAGGTCCCTTCCAACTCAAACTTTTCTATGATTTGCTTGCAGGTAAAGTACAAATATCTAGAAGGGCTTAAGGCCTTCTAGGTTCTCAGTGAAGACACCCCTGCTGTCTCCAGCCACATCCTCTGCCTGAAGAGATGAGTCATGTCATCTCACAGAAAGGAAATGCAACATTTACCCTGAACAAAACCCATGCAGGGCTCAGTGGTTGTCAGAGGTCCCAGGCACTGAGCAGCCCCGCAGAAGGCACAAACAGCATCCAAACACCAATCCAAGCTTCTGCAATGACACATCATGGAATTCTGCTTCCACTTCAGGCAGAAATGGGTGATGCTGCTGTTCTCACCCACTTCTGTTACCAGTTCTGTGTGTTCACCTGTGGAAATCTGTGGGGCATCTCACTCCTGCCTGCTGGTAATAATACCAGTTTGGATTTTACAATTACACCACCAGAATTTGCTGTTTCATTTGAAGAAATAGCTTTAAAAATGTTAATCTGTGACACTGCCTGCTACAGATTCATTACACATCAACCTCTTGTTCGCTTATTTTGAAATGAGCTGTAATAATTCATAGAAAGTGACATGAACCTACCATGTACATGCCTAAAATCTTGAGGGGGTTTTTTCAGCTACACAGATTTCTATCAGAAGTTCACACAACCACTGACCATTATCAGTTTAGTCTATCTGCCCTCAGACTCACCAACTTCTACTCTTGTTGTTTCTGGAGAGCTGAGGGTGACAGGGAAGGCTGGTCCTGCTGGCTCTGGTCCTGGTGTCTCTGCTCCCATGCTGGGTTCTCCAAGGAACAGCACCCCAAACGCTACCTGCACAGCCACAGGGACATCAGGCTCAGCAGCCTGTGGCAGAGGTTGAGAAACAAAGCACTGCTTCATTACTGGGATGTGGGAGCTTTTCTGACATTATAGTTTTGTGAGGATGAGCTCATCCTGAATGCTAAAAGAAATCTAAAGGGATCTTTCCATTTTCTCTGCTCGCCATTCTACAATTCACTTCTTGCTTGCCTTTGCTTTCACTTTGATCTTAAGTCAAGTAAGTTGATTCTCTGGTCTCCTTTTATATTCATAACCTAAATTAATTACATGATGAAAAGATTACATATTGCATTTCATGTCAGTTACTGCTTAGCACATGCCACAAGCAAGCTCCTCTCTTCCCTCCATGAGATATTGACATTGTCGCAAACATCTTTTACGAAAAATCCTTTCCTTAGGATTTTTTCCTCCTGAGAAGCCGAGAGGCCTCAGGAACAAAATGTAAACAATGGTTATCTGCTGCTGTGGAATGCAACAGGTGCATCTGTGATTGGCCCACATTGGTTGTTCCTAATTAATGGCCAATCACAGTGAGCTGGCTCAGACTGTCTCGGTCAGCCACAAGCCTTTGTTATCATTCCTTTTCTATTCTTAACTAGCCTTCTGATTAAATCCTTTCTTCTATTCTTTTAATATCGTTTTAATGCAATATATGTCATAAAATAATAAATCAAGCCTTCCGAAACATGGAGTCAAATCCTCATCTCTTCCCTCATCCTGGGACCCCTGCGAACACAACCACAGACATGGATACAAATCCAAACCTCTGTTCTGTACAGTGCTAAAAGCCACTGGTGGGAGGATATCACATTCCAAAACATCCACATTTCCCACAGAGCAGAGCTCCTCTCATCCTGCCAGCACTGGATCAGCAGAGAGGTGGAAGCTGCACTACTCCCAGCCTTGCCCAGCCATGACCAGCTCCAGAGAGGATGATGTGGGGGTCAGTTCCCATCCCCAGAGGAAGCCAGAGGAAGCCAGAGGCACCCTGGCACCAAGGACTCTGTCAGCAGCCCAGAGAAGGCAGGGCTGGCCTGGCACAGCCTCACCAAAGGCACCCAAAGAGGCAGCACAGGCACCTGTGTTTCTACTCAAGTTCCTGAGAGCAGCATCCACATCCATACCCTGCTCACCTGCCAGACCCAGGCTGGAAAGGGTCCCTGCTCTTTCCTGGGAGATGCAGCACCATGGCCAGACTGGAAAACACCAGGAAATTCAGGCAGATGACTCCTCAGAGTGTTGGGTTCATAGACTGCAGGGCAGGATCATCCCTGCACAGTCACACCCGTGTTCCAGGGATAAACCTGTTATGGTAAACTCCAGGGGCTTGATAGGATCATATCAGGACATTCCTTTTAACCCCAATCTGGGCTCACTTGGCTAAGAATGAGAAGAAGCCACCCCCTTCTTACAAAAGTTGCAATGCAGTCCAGCATCCTCTCTCACAGCTAAGGTGGTTTTAGGTTTTAGCCACAAAAAAAAATACAGATGGATAAAGATGGGTAAAACCAGACCATCTCCCTGCATCTCCGCCCTGCAGCTCACAGTTCAGGCACCACAGCAGGGCTTGGTGAGCTGCCAGGGCACACAGATGTTCTTACACATCAACACACACATTGCAACAGGGACAAGCTTGTGCCACTGTCCCACAGCCTCTCCTGGGGTGACTTACAGCTGAATGTTCTCATGATCTCTCTGCCCTTGGCCACTCAAGTCAGCTCCAGTCAGCAATAACTTGTTATCACCTTTCTTTTATTTGTGTATAAATTTGAAAATCAGCCTGTACTTCCTGTAAAAACCAGAAAGAAACAATTATTAAATAACAAAACTTAAAACAGATCTGAAACAAGGTAGAAAACAGATCTTTTTATTTGGAACAAAATGAATCACAGGGGGAAAGGAAAAAGAAAAAAAAAAAAAGACACCAGAAAGAGAACAGCTGGGCATGAACACATACAGTTAAAGAAAGAGCACAGGCTGCATCACTTCTCTCCTGACCTCACAGTAACAGAACTTTTTGCCCCTTTGGAATGGCACTTTCAGTGGTAAAGGACAGAAAACCAGCCCTGGTTCAGTCTGTCTCACAAAGATCTCTTGCCCCTCTATGGGAAGAGTCCTTCCAGGACAGGGGTGATAACAGTGGTGATGGGCACCCCGAGCCCTGGGGCTGGCAGCAGGAATGCAGCACTAGAATAAACCAGAGCTGGGATGCCCCAGCCCAGCAGAACAAGGCTGGCCCTGCTCTCTCAGCAGTGAATCAGGTGTCTGTTCAGAGCACCGATCAGCCTCTGAATCATGTGCTGGAGTCGAGTGTCCCCTCCTGCCCCTGCCGCAAAGTGCAGCAGTGAAGCAATGCTGTGACCTCCCATTCTGGTGACACTGGCCCAGTGACATTCACTGCTGCTTTAGTACTGCCACCCCAAGCACGCCGTGCCACTTCTTTTGTCATTCAGCTCACAGCCTCTGAGGAATGTTTGTACTGAAAGGAGTTAGAACAGCACCGTAAGGAAAAGAATTATCACCTCCCTCTTACCGTGGAAAGCCCGACTCTTGCGGCAGCCTTTAAAAGCAGAGACAAGCTGAATCACCACCAACACAGCACACAAGAGCCAAACATCTTCTAAAGAGAGTCACAGGACAAGGAAAGAACGAGAACAATCACCTGTGGCTGGGTGTCACTGATGCAGAGCCTTGGCAAGCAAGCAGAGATGAAGGACTCCCAGGTGAGCGTGCAGCCACCCCCCAGCTCCCTCCCTGGGAAACAAACCTTCAGTTTCTCAGTTTAGTTTGGATTCTGCTAGGGTGCAGCCCTCGTTGGATGGCTTTCACCAGGCACACCTTCAATCCATTTCCAAGGAATTCACAGTGTCAGCACAATATAAAATAGGGACAAAATGACAAGGAAGGAGAGAATGCAGCTCCCCATCCCTTTTGGTGCCAGTCTGTACCATCTCTGCTTTTACAACCATGCCTTTCTAGCCAAGCAGGCCAATTTAACACGAACAACCAATTTACCACCTCACTCTGACTACTAAAATTGTCCCATGCAGTAAATACCTTGCTCTGGCAGCACATCCTGCACTCCCTGGCAGCTTTGCTGGGACTCAGCTGCCTGAGACAGAATCCCTGCCCTCTCCTCACCACATCCTTCTTCCCTGCAGGTCTGGCCCAGCTGCTGCACAGGCACAGCTCCCCTGAGCAGAACAGGACAAGCCTAGCAGCAAGACTTACCTAAGAGATCCTATAAATTTCTGCTATCTGTGCAAAGAGCACAGCCCCAAAAAAGCCTACATGCACAGGCAGATGGCCAGCTTCACCAGCTTGCAGTAGCTAAACTATCACACTAAAGGCACTAATGCTTGCATTGATAAACAATCTCAGCCTTAAAATCAAGGTTTCTGCCAAAATTGCAGCCCCAAGCCCCCTCCTGCTGCAGGCAAGCGAGTGATAGCTCTGGCTTAGCTCAGGGGCAGCCCAAGCAGGCGGTTCTGGGGAAAGGTGACCTGTACCCTCTGTCATTTGGGGCACCAAGAGGGGAGCAAAGCCAGCACCACCCCAGCTCTGCACACAGCATCTGCAAATGGCACATTTCAAGCCCTGCAAATGTCACTGCTCCTGCTCCAGGCAGCAAGAGGTGGGGGCCAGATCTGGAGCTCAGGGGAGCGGCTCAGGTGAGCACCCAGGACAGCGGGTACCCAGCTGAGACCTCCTTTGAGCTTCCTTGGCAGGGCCGGGGAAAAAACTGCCCTGAAGTCTCCTGAGAGAGAAGAGCCTTGCTCAGGAAACTTCTGGCAAGCACCTCAAGCTGTCTGTGATGCCTGCAAATGCAGGCAAGGCATGGGGTGGGCAGGGAGCAGGAGGAGCCCTCTCATCCCAGGCTGTCTCCTGGGCTCCTCAGTTTAGCTGCAGCTCTGTTATCAGGCAAAGCATCACAGAGCTGCCCCTTTTGTTTGTTGGTGAACCTGTCAGGCCTTGAAGCCATGTGTGTGCTTTTCTCTGGATTTTCTTTTTTTGTTTTGAATGAAGTCAGAAGGTTTGACACCTCACTTCTTTCCCCTGCTAAAATTTTCCAGACACAGTGAGACTATGGGATGCAAAGGACAAGTGTCACAGATTTCAGGGTGGAACAGCAAGCATGTCAGATCAGTCATCAGTTGGATCTGGGAAACAGTCTGAGGCATCTTCCTGGCCATCCATATCAACTAGGACCTCAGCATCTGGCATTTCCTCAGCTTCTATCTGCACTGGTAGGTTTTCTTCTGCCACTGGCTGGGGCTCAACACCTTGACCAATCTGGGCAGCATCTGGAAAAAGAAGAAATGGTTTTAAGTGCCCACACTATGGCTCACCCTCATGGAAATTCACCCCCTGGTCCCTAATGCTGCAGGACTCCTGATCCACTCAGTCCCCAGGCACCTGCAAGTCAAAGTAAAATTTTCTCTGTAACTACTCATTTACTGAGCTGGCATCATGCCTTAGGGCACTTTGGTATTGAAGCTCTCTGGCTTCTTAGTACCAAAGTACTTGAGTACCAAAATACTGAAGCCAAATCTATTCACTTACATCAGAATAATTCAAGCTGGCTAACAGCACACATTTAGTTCTTGCCTACCTTCCATGTGTATCTTTGCTTTTTCTTTAATTGTAAAAAATTAAAATATGGACTACTTGTTAGTTAAACTTATAATATTTGATTTTTTTATTAAAAACTCTACATTTGAAGTATATTAAAATTAAACAATGAGCTGAAAGGCCTTTTTTCCTCTTTCTTGCTCCTATGTTCATGAGTAGCACATAATATTTTGAAAGCAGAGCAAAGAGCATCCAAGGTTAGATATAAAGCACAGCAGAGCTACAGGAGGCTGTGCATGGTGAAGTGAAGGACACCAGAAATGGAGACAGCAGTGCTGAGACCAGGCTATGACCTGTGTAAAGCTGCTCCAGTTCATGATGTCTCTGCTAAACCTACTTCAGCTGATGATGGTGCATTATGGAAAGCAAAACTGAGGGAAATATAATGCAAAAAGGGCAGTACTAATATCAAACACTTACAGAACAAGACATTTCTGGAGAGTTTTTATCACTGCACTCTCTTAACCATATTGTGCTAAGGCTGTGGGGGTTTATGCTTGATTTCTTTGAAAAATTTAAAATGTGACCATATTCCCACTCCAGACTCAATTTAAGAAAATACACAAGCCTCTGGCTTTGATGGGATTTAGCTGTGTTTACAGCTCAGCATATTGGCTCCTGCTGTCCTGAAGATGACTGCTTAAAAAACAGCACCAATTTTTATAAAATGTTACTCATGAGAAGGGTGAGAAAATTGTAGGAAAACTGCTGAGTATTGGGGGGATTGCTGTTTCTGAGGTAGGTGTTTTAGCACAGGAGATAGTGGAACAGACAGCCTGCTGGCAGCACCCTCTGTGGGATGCCTGCCTCTGCTCTGAGTAAGGTGCTGAAAAACACCCTGCTGCCACTCCTGCAGAAGGTGCAGCACCTTCCCTGTGCTGCCACATCCCAGGCCCCTGTACTGTCACCTCCACCCCCAGCAGCCACACACAAACACTGTGTGCCCCCTGAACAAGGTGTGTGTGACCTCAGACAGGTCTCTGCACTCACCAGGCTTGGCAGGACGGTCACTCTGAGCCTCCAGGTGGTCTCCATTGGGGGGGCTCTTCGTGCCTTCCCCAGACACCACTGACATTGTCAGCCCGTCATCCTTCTCCTCCTCTGTGAAACCAAACCAGAGATTTGAAGGAAGAGGCCCCCACAGCCCCAGCAGGGCTGCTGTGAGGCCAGACCCCAGCACGTGTTTGTGTCCCCTCCTGAGGTGACGCTGGCTCTGCTCCCAGAGTGGGCAGATGCCGAGAACAGAGGGTGGTCACTGCCAGCCTGCCAGGGACCAGCCTGGCCAGGCTGCCAGGATCACAGCTTGAGGTGATCTGCACTGGCAGAATGCTCCCAGGGACAGGGGACTGCCATCAGAAACCATTCTGGGATCACACCTGAATGAGGGTCCATTTTATTGACCATAGGAGAGGTTTTGCTGGAATTTTTTCTTTTGGCCAGGAGCACAGGGTGAGGGCAATAAAGGAAAAGTGAGGTTTAATTCAAGAACCTGCTAGCCATAGAGGCTGCCTGTCAGCAACAGACTTCTGCTCCAGCAGGTCAAGGGAGGACAGGCTGGATGGAGGACAAGCAGCCACCCAGCTGAGACCAGGTTACTCTAAGGCCACTGCACAAACACAGTCCTCTCCAAAACTCATAACAGGGGGTGTCACAGCATTCCCCACTCACCTGAAGGCACTGGGATGAACTTGTGTCTCCTCTTCCTCATGCAGCAACATATGGCTGCAGGCAAAGCCACCAGCAGGATAAGCGCACCCGCTGCACAGCCTGCCAGGATGTAAATGAACCCTGGGTACCGCAGCAGGTCTGCAGGAAGGACACAGCATTGTTAGCTACCATGGTGGACAAATTCCTTTCTCCCCGTGGGAGAAACCCCACAGCCAGATTAGAGCTTGTTGGCATCACTGTTGCTTTAGTTTGGCACTGTGAGCTGTGGCACTTTATGATTTATGTAACATCGTCTAATTATGGCATGGAATTTTTCTTTAAGAGGAGAGGCCTGTGTGCAATCACTTCTGCCTGCTCTGATCACTGACATCTAAGGTAATCTGTAGGTTTAAATCAAATTTAACAGAGAAGGTGGTGGTTTGAAAGATACCACAATTCAACAAGGGAGCGAGACCCAAGGAAGCACCTCCTTGTGGCCACAGCTCTCTTCACAGAGAGCAGCAGGCACAACTTCCCAAGGATTTTTCTCAGGAAAGCAGTGAGAAGTACAGAGAGAAGAGGAGAAAACATTTCTATTCACTGCTCCTGCTATTGCACACTTGGAATGTGTTATGGAGATTGTTTACCCAACGTGATTTGGTTAATTGGACACCGGTGAAAGTTGTTTTGAGTGATTAGCCAATCACTCAAAGCTGTGTCCTGTACTGTTTTTTTGGTAATATAGTATAGTATTCTTGTACTCTTTAGCATAGTTAAAATATAGTATTAATGTAATATAGTATAGTTTTAATAAAGCAATTTTCACCCTTCTGAATCACGGAGTCAGAGCGCATCATTCCCTGGCTGGGGCATCGCCTGCTTCCACTACACCTCCTGCTGAAGGAAAATCTGCAGAGCCTACCCTCAGAGCTGGCATCAGAGAATCTGCTTAGGACAGTCATGTAATGCCTGCACCAACCCCAGAGCAAGTCTCATCAGAGCCTGCACTGCCTCCGGCACCGAGACTGTGGCCACTCGAGCCAGAGCTGTGGGGAAAAACCCTTCCCTGGCTCTGCTGCTGCTCGGGGAAGGATTCCACCCTGTGCCCCTGCCCAGCCTGAGAGCAGGACCCACAGCAGGAGCGAGGGCTGCAGATGGCTGAGCAGAAGGGCAGCACAAGTCACTGGTGATGATTTCCCAGCTCAGCAGCCCTTGCTCAGGGTTGCTGTGATGGGGCAGACCCGCACGTTTGCTGCTGCTGAGCAGGCAGCTGGTGCAGGGCACAGAGACCCATCCAGGCTTGCTCCTTCACTGAGATCATCCCCCTACTTGGGGCAGCCTCTAGGAAAACTCTTCTTGCCATATGCAAAAAAAACCCACACAAATTCCTTAAAATTCCTTAGGTAAGCCAGTGCCATCCCTTTCTGAATAATTCAACTGCTTTTCAGCAGCACACGTGCCTGCACAGCACAGCAGCAACCAACAGGCTCATTTGGAGCTTATTTCAAGCCCTCAAAAGCACTAATTGCTCCATATCTCCAGAGACTAAGAAGAATTTTAAATGTTCCAGGATATACTACATGCCATCATACTCCACCTACTCACTGGGACAGCAAAAACAACTGCACACAGGTGTTCATGGTATTTTCAGAGTGCTTGTTCCAGTCTTTTTAAGAACATTTAGAAAGTTCAAAAAAATCCATATTCAAAATTAAAAACTTTCAGCAACTCAGAAATAATTTCCCTAATTATTTTAGTTGATGAATGCTTAGAGAATATTGTGAAAAATATAAATATAAGTTGGAAATTTATTCCCTGAATCTTTTTCCTAAAAATTTGCCACTTGTTATTAAGGTCTTTTTGAGATAAAATATTGTGTTAAAAAAAAAGCAATAAACAAGTAATTAATCAATAAAAGTCCTTTATATATGTTGTCTTCTTAATTTCTGAATCCTGTGTGCTGAGAGCCCTGTGTTGCCTGGTAAGTTTACGGCATTTCTGCCAAATTGTTTTTTGGTTATTCAAAATTAATTTCATCAGCCCAAATGGATGTTTTTACATATATTATATACCTAAACCAAATTCAGCCCTTTCCCTGGAGCAACTATTAACACACAAAAATAATTCATTAACTTTCAATTAAATTAAATGAACCTATTTCCCTCTTAATTCATTTTACTGATATCCAGAATTGCTTTAACTCCCTTTTTCCAAATGTGGTTGCATTTGATGACTGCAAAGTGCAATCACCGCCACTTTCTTTCTTTCAGATCCTTCCAACTACGTGGAGCTGGAGTGTCCCAGACAATTTCTAAAATGCTACAGTATGGGTTCTCTAGTGGCAAAAGTGATTAAATTAATCACAGCAAAATTTTCAAAAACCTTATAGTTATGTTATGCCACGCCTACAGCTTTGATAACCATCTTTTCTGCCAGAGAGCAGAGCATCTTCACTACTGGAGGTGCAAATTAAATGATACCCAAGGATCCAGATTCTCTGTCTCATTAAACTCTGGCCTTGCTCAAGCAGAATACTCAGCATTTATGAATAGCTTGCAAATGGATAAAGTCTCAGCGTTCTCACAGACTTACATGTCTGAGCAAGAATATGGAGGGGAAACAACCCCTACATTCCATAAGTAAATGGCATGTGTCTTTATCCATTTCTGAGGGATGGGGCTGATGGAGAGACATTTGTATAGATCAGAAAATCTTTTGCGCTTCTGGCCTAAATAAGAGGAAAAGAGATGAGGCAAAACACCTCAACTGAGTCCAGAAGCAACAGGGCTGAACCAGTGGAAGGGTTTTTATGGAATGCACTTGAAGGCATCTGGGTCACAGATGCGTGTCAGAGTAGGAAGCAGCCTGTGTTTCTAAAGCAGCATAGAGGATTGGTGCACAGGAAGTGCAAATCTCCATCACCAAAAAGTAGGAAAAGAGACAGATGGAGATCCATCCTTGCTGCAGAGGTGGGTAAAAGAACCTCCTCAACAAACTCATCCCATCTGTGGTTATAGGCTGTGTCAGTCCAAAGCACAGGAGGGAGAAGGAAATTAAGGGGTCACTTTCTAAAGGCAGGATTTGCTAACTCTGGAAGGGCAATGCCAGAGGACAGAAGAATTTGATATTTTGAGGACACCAACAACCTCTCAGTTGGCTGCTGCAAGAGACCAAAAGGAAGATTTTCTGGGGATGCCATTACTCACCGTAGCTGCAAGACAGCGTAATGGGCCTGGTCCTCGTGACACTGTTCCCCTTCAAAATCTCACACACAAACTCCCCAGGCTCGGTTTTGCCCAGGTGAACCTTCTTCCCAGCATCCTTAATGCAAGCCCCCTCGGCTTTCAGGTGGGTGCCATTGAGGAGCCACCTGAAGACCAGGATCTCGCTGCTGGCCACGTTGCAGGACAGCTCTGCAGTTCCGTCAGGGAAGCACTGGATACCGATGGTCGGCTCTGCTCATACACAGCATGGGGCACGGGGAGCAGGGAGGAAAGAGAGAGGTGAGGAGAGGATTCAGGAGTGAACATTAGCTGAACAGAAGCTTCCCTTCCCAGCAATCCCAGTAACACCACATTTACTGTGTGAAGGGAGCGCAGAAACAAGTAACCCATCTCTTGAGTGCCTGCATTCTACCCAAAAATGCTTTACAGTGCCTACCCCAACCCTGCTAGCAACTCTTGATCCCTGTTTTGGGGATGCCACCAAACTCTGGCATATTGTCATTTTCCTAACTGACATTGAAAAAAAAAAACAAATAAAAGCCCCTGGTCCAAGAAGATGGTGGAAACATCCAAAGCACATGCCAGCCAGAGCCCTCCTCTGTAATCAGCAGATAATCATAGCTTTGGAGGAGACTCAGCCCTCCCCTCCACCTGAGGTTTGTACTTTTGCTGTCACTCTGCCCCTTCTTCCATTTTAGAGAGAAACTGGTGCAAATCATGGCCAACATGGACACGAGTGCAAGATACCCACAGTTAGATACAATACCCAGACTAGGACATTTTAAAATAAATAAATTAATCATTGCTCTTACTACATTTCCCTGAATTTCTCTCTTTCAGTCTACTAAAAGGAGGAAACCCATTTCCTACACTTGCCACTTTGCACATACAAACTAGATAGAGAACTGGTATGGTTTTTTAGGACAGCAGGAGTAACACTGAGAACATGTATCCATGGAAATAAGCTCACAAATCACTTTCTTGTGCTAGGACATCAGTTAAAATTCTCTGCCTCCAGGAACATGTTGGCAGTGAAATTTTTTCCCTGCCTTAGGGGTGGCAGCAGAACAGAAGGAGGAGGCAAATGTTCCCAAAGTAAATCCACTGAAATGGAGGTTAAACCCAGGTTGCTTCTGCAGTCTTTGACTACTTCCAGTCTAAGCCCCTGTTCCTCACACCAAGGAGTCCCATCTTTGACCTAGTGTGCACAGCAGTTCCGCCTGTTTGCACCCAAAAGGTGTAAGGGCTCATTTGTCTTCACTGAGACCAGTTTGCTCAGACATTTTCATTACAGTTTCGTGCGCTTCCATTTATCTTGGAAGCCTGTGCAAGTGAAAGCCCTGCAAAAGGAACAGCGGCAATGAGGAGCAGAGCAAGGCTCTCTGTCTGCCTGGAGCACTGCTCAGCAGCAGGACAAACCCTCCTAAGCCTTCTCCATATTAACCCAAGCAATGAGCTGGATCCTGTACAGAAGTGACTTTGTGTCTGTCTTTGCTGCCTGCAGGTGGATGAGCAAAAGGGAGCAGGAATTCTGAGGATACAAGGGACAAGAGAGAGACTGGCACAGCTCCCAGGGGCACCCAGAGCTCCTGCAAGCTCAAGCAGTTTCTTTGGAAAAATTTCAAGGCATCAGGCTTCCAACAAGTTCAAAAGCTTTTTGTTGCTAAGAAGGCCACTTACCAAACACTTCCAGTGTAAAATTTCTGGCGGTGTGCTGAAAAACAAATCCGTATTTTCCTTCGTCATCTTTCTCCACACTCCTCAGCACCAGGGAGCCGTTCTCTAAGTTCAGCCATCTGCTGGCAGAAGTGCCACACTTGGCCAACAAGGTATCATTTAGGACAGTTGTAGAGCATTTCTTGTCCTCCTTGCTCATGCTGGAGAAGTTCTGCAGGCTTTGGATTTCCAAAGAAAAGATTGCTGAGTCGCCGCTGAGCGCGCCAGTCCAGATGGCAGAGCCTAAAAGGAGAGCAAGCTTGCCATGTCCATCCATCCCCTCCTGGCTGCCCCCCAGGAAGGAAAATGCCCAGGTGAGACATAAGAGGGACAGACCACATCCTAGGGACACTGGATCACCAGTGATTGAAAATCTGAGGAGTGGGATGCCTTCTATAAGGTCCAACTTCCCCCACCTCAACAGCACAGGAATGGTGTGAACACCATGCACAACAGGGAAACAAAAGGCTGAATTTATCTCCCTGAATTTAAGACCATCTACCAGCCCCCATCAGAGATGAGAGACTGAGCAAAGAAAGGTCCTCAGGGCCTCAGTGCCATGGACCTTGCACAGAGGGTAGCAGAAACAACAGCTGCATGTGCCCAGCTGCTTTCACCCAAAGAGTAAGGTCAGAGTTTTAACTCGAGCAGTCTTGCACATTATTAAGTTATTGTGTGTAAATGGCAGGAGCTTGGGGACTAACCCAAGGTCACACTGAGTGCTGGGAGCCAGATCACGTCGTTCTCCAGTCAGCACTCTGTGTACAAGAACCTTACATTCCCCACTGAAAAGCTTCTCCGGACCCAGGACACACAGAAAGTACATTATTGTTAGTTATTGTTACTTTACTGGAAAAATAACCTGTCTTACTTTGGTCTGACTTCCCCTTTCATGCATTAGCAGCTACACTATTTGATGTCACCCGAAACCTGGTAGCATCCTTGGAGCAAAATTAGGGTGTCAGCTCATCTAGGCAAACCTGTGCCAACCCCAACAAAGAAAAATCTTACCTACCTTGAGTAACAGTTATTATCACCAGCAAGCAGAGCAGAATCAAAGGAGAGCTGAAATCCATCTCAAAGAGCTCCTTGCATCATATGCTGAGGAGACGATCTGGCTACAGAGCTCAGTGAATTTAGTGCTCGGGAAATGATGTCAGAAGCAAGAGTGGGGAAAAAAAAAAAAAGAAAAGAAACTCCATAGTGGACAGATTGAATGATGTTTCAAAATAGACCTGCGAGGTTTTGGGTGACTGAACTCGGGCTGAGCCAATGCAAGCCACAATGTGCTCTGCAAAGTCCTGCAGCTCAAAGGTAGCTGAGAGTGTGAGAGTAGGGCTGAGAGGTGAGGGAGACAAAAATATCTCCTGGTCAGCTCACCCCATTCAGGAAGATGCTAATGAAGCAGGCAAAGGAGGAACACCTATTTCTTTTGTCCTTTCCTAGTTTATTAAAGTACAGTATCCCCACCCAGGGAAAAGAAAGTCCAGTGAGATAAAGCACTGCACATGAAAACCAGCTGATTTTCTGCAATACTAAAAATTATCACTCCTTGACACCTCACCAGCAGGAAGGAGGTGTGGGACAAGGCTCTCCCTCTGTTCCCAAAGGCTGTGTTGCCAAAGTGAACTTTGCCAGGCTCTTTTAGTGACTGAGTGGTACCTGCCATGCAGGAAAGGCTCCATACAGCCAGCCCAAGCAGAGTAAAGCTTACAGGAAATTAAATTGCATTGCAAAACTAAACTGAATGTAGCCCAGAAGCCACCCCAGCTCTGCTTGGAGAGCAAATCTCAGAGATGAGACTGAAAAGCCAATCCTGAAGAAACTCTGTGAACCAGTTATCTGGAGAGCCAGGTAGGGCCAGACACTTGGCACTTTTTGAATGGCTTAAAGCGCACTGGGCATTGCACCGAGTGCCACAATGGGTTGCACAAACAACACAGGGACAGCAGGAACTGTCTCACTCACTGGAGGAAGTACACTGGTATAGCATTAGAGCCAACATCTGGATGCTTTCAGATGCTTAGCAGATGTGCTGGGGAATAATTACAAGAGCTGGGTTCAGGATGCAGCTGGGAATGTTGTATTTTTGTTTCTCTGGACACAGATATAGACACAGTCCCCTAAGGAAGCTCCATGCAGTGGGTTCACGTGTACACACACATTTCTGAGAACTGGGTAAAACCCTTGCATTGTGGTCTGCACTATTTCTCAAACAATCTGGCTATGCTTGAAAAATTCCACCTTTTAGCCACTGGTTTGGCCACTCTGACTTCTTTACCAATGATGGCTGCACCTCCTGCTCCCAGTGTTCCAGACTTACAAATTTGGTTCAAGGCTATCACAGCAATATGCTGTCTTTATCATATGTGCATAGGACAGGCCTAAATTGATCTATGATGAGACAGAAATAGACTTCTCTGAAAAAGCAGTGAAGTGAGTCTTCAGACACTCACAGCAGCGCCAGAGGAAGGGAGAGAGAAAAAAGTATTTACAGTAAGAAACACTTTCATTTCCTTCTGTGCTGCTGAAATAACATGAAGAAAATCTCTCTCAAATACCACTGCAAGACTGGGGCTAACCATCTGCCTCGGATGTGCACATTCATCTTCATTTCACCTTCATGCTTGAAGGGCAGGCTGGTGGAGCTGGGGGTTGCAGTGCTGTGGTGGAGACACGAGACAGAACAGACAGCACACGCAGGGTCACTCCCAAACAGCGCCCCAAAATCTCAGAATCTCAGCAAAACAAGGTGCAAAAGGGGACTCATCCAGCAAAAGTTCACCTTCTCTTCCAGCCAACGAGAGCAGAGCCTGATTGCAGTAAAATCCAATAAAAATATGGCCCTTCTGGTGCGGCTCTGTTGTCACAGAAGTGACTCTGCACGGCTGTGACATTGCGGTGTCCTGCACTCCATCTCCCTCTCGGTGACTCCAGGGCAAACGAGTACATTTATGAGTTCAATATTCCTCACTGCAAGTGCCCCATACATCACACAGTATATGAAGTCCCATTAGGCTTCTTCTGTCCCTCACATCCTCACTAGCTAAAAAAAACCCCAAAAGGAATCACAGCCGGGATAAAGATGACAGCACACACACAATCTGTGTTGTCATCAATCAGCAACCTCTTTCAAGAGCAACACTCTCAAATTTCACTCATAATGAAACTGTTAGATGAGATCTGGCAATAATTTCTAGCATTGGCTAATGAGTGATCTTGCAGCACCCTTGCAAGGCAGACAACTCAGTTCCCCTTTTTATAAAAAGACAGAGTTTTGTGTGATTACGGCAGACAAAAAACACCTTGTAAGGCTTAACAGAAATCACAAGTAGAAAAAGGGGGGAGGGAAGGTGGACCAAATAAAAAACCCAAGAATTTGTAGTTAGAAGGTGAACTAAAACCTTTTTTAGTTGGTGAGCTGCAAGCTCACAGGGTCACTTTGCCCCTTCACACCGAAGGCTTCATGAAAGGGGAATGGAGATTCATTCCATAGATGGCATAAGGCCTTGATGGGAAAACCTGAGCTAGCAAATAAAGCAGGAAATAACCTGTGAAATATTATGGAGAAATCTGCCCATATCAACTCTGCACAGGCTGGTAAGCATAGGCAGCACACCTATTTTTACTGTCATTAATGTGTGTCAGTGCTCACTGGGGAAACACACAGGCCCAGATTCACTCAGAGGTAGCCAGCAGAGCTAAATGCAGAAGCTCAACACATGCAAACAGAAAATAGGCCTGCAGCTCCAGCAGTGAGTGCACAGCTGCAGTTGCCCTTCTGTCCATCCGTCCATCCAAGGCAGGAATGGGGCACACACCCGAGAAAAGCTTCTGTGTGGGCCAACAGGACCCCAGAGACTGATAAATGTTCATGAATATGAGCTCTTCCTTTGGTACATTAAACTAGCCAGAGAGCTGTGCTTAACCTCAAGATCTTTTTTTGATCATAGCAATAGAAATAGCAAGCAAAAACAAAAGCAAATGCTCATGTCAGAGCCTCAAGTACAGATGATATCTCCATGACAAGGACTTTTAAAGAAACTCACAAATAGAAAACGGACATTGCAGAAACATGCTGAGATCAGAAAGGCTCCAGACCTAATTATAGACAAGGTGCATGTGGTTTCTCCATCCTGTGGTACCTCTGGGGAAGGCACAGCCCAGCACTTGCAAGAGTCAGGGCCAATAGGAATGCACTTTCTTCCTCAGAGCACCCATGGATATTTTCATCCTTCTCTTGCTAAGAGATGGAAGGAATGTCCAACACCCTACAAACACCTACAGCTCCCCTGAAATGGCTCTCCCAGCCTGCCCCACCATGACAAGTGAAAAAGAAGAGCCTGCATATGGAAAAACTGCTGGAAATGACACAAATTATATTTAGCTGTGTGCAGGGTGAAATGCTTTGTGTTTGCATGAAAAAAAAAAGAAAAAAAACCCCAAACCAAATGGTTGATCATTGCAGAGCTATTAGACACATGGGTTCAATCCTGTCTCTACATGAGCAACACTCAACTGCAGGAGCACGTTCCTCTTCCTCCTTGCTTTGTCTTGCCTCACTTTGAGGGGAAAGCAGACCTTGCTAAACCCCAACTTGGAAGATGAACTTGGGAAATTTCACTCATGTTGCCACCTTCAAACTAATAATATAAGCATTATTTACAAAGGCAAAGAGATTTCACAGGTTGAAATTCTCTGCAGGATTCACTGAGCAGTCTGAGCATTACATCTGCTCTGGTTAGGAGAAGGTTAACGCCAGGCTCATTTTTTAAAAATCTTCAAACACAGTGCAGAATGGGGACAAAAGCCACCAGAACAGCTTTACAACCATAAGACTGCCAGTGGTTGTGACAGGGATTCCCTATCCATCACACTCTAGCACATGAACAACCTAAAGTGACAGTCAGAAGACTTTATGCTTTTTCCTGAATCTTTGCTACCACACACAAGAAACTGCAGCCACTGATACCTGCAGCAAATTAAACCATTCAAGAGCTTTAAAAAGTTTCCTTTAAGCAGCAGAGAATATTCTTTGATTACAAAAAAACAACCAAAACCCTCGGGTCATTTAACTTTGTATTACTTACTAGAAGTGCTCAGAAAATGCAGACATTTGGGATAATGGCTGTCTTGACAGCAGACTGAAATTTGTTGTAAAGGCACCAGAACAGTACTGAAAAAAAAATTTAGGAGAGCCACAAATTGAAAGGGGCTGGAAAATAGTGTTTTATAGGATCAAAGCTGCAAACACAGCTTCAGCATGCCAAGTAGAACTTAAAGGCAGATTGGAAAGTCCTTGGTCATGACAACTCTTTAACAAGGTAGTCTGGCTGGGGCCAAAACAGCAAAAAAATTGAGACTTTTAAGACTTTATTAAATTTTTGCATACCCAGATATTGTGAAATGAGTAAGATGTTCTGAAAGTGCAGGCATGGAGGCACTTACCCAATGAAATTAATGTCTGACCATGCTCTGAGAGCAAGCCCTGGACCCACAGATCCAGCTAGCACACTCATCCCTGGTTCTTTCCTCTAGAACCCTTCTGCATAGATATTTCTTTTTATCTCCTTAGAGATAAGGAGATCTGTGTGTATTTAACAAACATTTGGATCTCAGGGTCTCTCCAGTAATACAGGTCATAAAAAAAGGCAACAAACTGGAATGCTTTTGCAGCCAAGATTGTGTTCATAATATGAATATTCCAGCCACAGAAGACTTGTGCTTGGCCAGTCTCAATTTATTTGGCCTTTACACCTCATGTGCATTAAAGCAAAGGAATCCAGGTACAGCATCTGGCCATTTATGTTTCTGCACAAATCTTTGTTGTCTCTAATGCTTCAATTAATTCTTTCTTTCTTTCTCTAATGATTGAGGATGGGACAGAGAACACAACTTTGCTCTATTCCTAAGTTGTAGGCTTAGACATACCTTGGAGAGGTTTTGTTCAGTGATGTGGTTCCTCCCTGCCCTCTCCTGACAAAAAACAAATCTCCCAAATGCCCTCCCTTTTCTTTACAGAATTGTAATTTGGCTGGAGAGACTTGATAGCTTTTAGCTGTCAAAGCAACTGGCATTACATGTGTATTCCAATTTTCCCTATTTGTACTTGCCATTAGCACATCATCCACACACTGTATTAATACAAAGTTATTGGTTAACTCTCCTCTAAGTCTGCCTAGGATTTTCAGAAATTAAGTTGACAATCCTGCAAACCCTTGAGGAAATCCAATCCACATTTACTGTTTTCATTCACAGATGTTGACAAAATTAAACTGGATGCACTATTATGCTGAGCACAAATCAATTACTGCAAAATATTTTGCATTAGTCAGTATCATGTTTATAGCTGTTGAAGTATCAGGAACTAGAATCCTGGACAAATTTATAAACTGATCTTCCATCTAAGCTTAATTAAGGTTTCTTTAATCAGCAAGACAGGAGTATGACAGGGAGACTCACAAGGGAGAAAATCCTCAATTATTTGTCTTATACCTTCTCTTGCTTCCAGAGATAACAGGTTCTATTTTAAAGAGGGAGGTTTGCCTCCCTGCATTTTGAGCTGTACTGGATTAGCTGTCTCTAATAACCCACATGACACCTCTGAGTTCCTGGGGTATTTCTTTCCCCCTTCAGTCACATAACCATCATGTTTTGGCACATTACCCACAATATGAACACACAAATTCCTTGTGGTGAGCACTGCAACTGTGCCCAAAATTGTGTCACAAATACCTCCCCACCAAGTTTGCTGGTGCTGATTCCAACAGCAGAAAAAGAATGATTATTAGAAAGATTATTATTAGAAAAAGAATGATTATTATTAAAAGAATGATGATTATTATTATATCTGTGCCATCATGCCCTGGGTACAAAGGTAGCTTTACCTTCTATTCATACAACATTTACTTTACCCTTAATTGTTGATCCTTCCTGGGGGGTTGTTAATATCACATAAACTGTGCTGGTATCTATCAAACACGCCTTAAATTTCATCTCCAATTTTTTAATCTGTAATTGGTTCACCAAAGCCCCCCCAAGGTGATTGCTTTTCTATCTCCTTTCACTGCCAGGGCTTGGGGGTCTGCTCTGATCATTGTTCTTTGCTTTCATTTGGGTCCCGATTGATTTGATTTTCGTTTTGTTGCTCTCATTGTTCCTGCCTCAGGATCACAGGACATTCTCTTTCCAGTGTCTTGGTTTTATTGCAGTAATCCTTTGGACTTCTCCAATTTAAATTTCCATTTCCCTTATTTCCATTATTACCCTTTTGTCCCGTGAAATTCCTGCCTTGCAGAGCAGCTGCTAACAAGCCAGCCTTCCTTTCCTGCTGTTTTCTCCTCTGCCTTATCTTGAACTCATCCCTTACATTACACACAAATGTTGCAAGAATTAATATCTCCTCCATGAACTTCGCATGCCAGCCCAGAAAACACTGGTGAAAATGATTAACATCTGGGATCTACAAATGAGGAGAAAAGCAAAGACCCATCCTGCAGGGCTTCTGGGTTCATTCCACCACCGAGTGAATGCCTTGTCAGCATTATTTTCTCTTTGTCTCATTAGCCATTTCTTAAATCCTCTTCAGCAAAATCTTAAGGCATCTGATCCTGCCTTGGTCTGGTAATAGGAACTGTCTGGCTCTGCCCACACAGCCCCACCATCCAGCAGACAGTTCTTTATTTTCCTGCATAATCAACACTTTCTCTTTATGGGGTAAACAGAGCTTCCAGTAACCATCAAACATTTGAACAAAAAGGGTCACACGCAGTAAAAATTCCCCCAATCACTTCCTGAGCCTTCCACTGCAGACTCCTTCCTGGAGCCTGGGCATTTGCTGCTGCCAAACCACCAAACCTGCCAGACCAAACGGCACCATGGCTTCTGCCCCCACTGCTGCAGAACGAATCGGGGCTTGCAGGCTTGCACAGCTGCTGAAGGGAAAGCAGAAGGTGCAGAAAGAGGAACAGAAGGAGTGACAGAGCAAATAGGAAGCAAAGGAAACAGAGACACATCTGCAGCAGCTGTCTGAGCTTGCATGCATAGCAGTGACTAAGGAGATGCCTTGGTTTCGTTCTCCTTCTTTACCTTACCTTGTAAGACTGGCTTGTATAATGGTCAGTAGATCCATCAGGTCAACAACTACTCCAAACATGCCAAAAAATCAACCTGAGCTGGGAAATGGTTTTCAACATCAGCATTAAACACATTATGCAGTCACAGATAAAACTGCCCATTGATGGCCCTTTTTGGTCTCTGCTCCCAAATGCAGCCACAGCCAGACAGGTATCTCAACAAATCCAGAACCCTTTTTCCTTACAACCCATGGCTGCCTACCAATTTTGTCACAATTACTCAAAATTTCTAATAATGAAGTACCTCTCACTAAGCCTTGTCTCATTTCCAAACTGAATGAATTATATAGAATTACAGAAATTCAATTTGCCACCACCTCACCTCTTTCTGGTTGGGTCCCAGCGCACTCCCTGTGACAGAAGTAGATGAACTCACGTGTCCCACAGATCAGACACACTCCATGAGA